TTGAGCTATAGGTGCCGAGCCAAAATAAAATAAAGTTAAAATCCACTTGGCTTTGCAGGGCTCCAGTTGGCCCCCTGGATCCCTGAGATTTAAGTATTAATAAAAGGGTTTCTCATAGATTCCAGAATCCATTGCAGAGGGGTTGAATCCAATTGCTGGGGATGGGACTTAGAAATATACATTTTAGGTTGGAGTTGTCATTGTTGCTCAGCAGGCCCAGGCCGGGTTCAAACCTGCCACCCTAGGCGTATGTGGTCGTCACCCTGCTGACTGAGATACGGGTGCCACCGGAAATATACTTTTTTTTTTTTTGAGACAGAGTCTCAAGCTGTTGCCCTGGGTAGAGGGCTGTGGCATCACAGCTTACAGCAACCTCCAACTCCTGGGCTCAAGCAAGTCTCCTGCCTCCGCCTCCCAAGTAGCTGGGACTACAGGCATCCACCACAATGCCCGGCTACTTTTTGGTTGCAGCCATCATTGTTGTTTGGCGGGCCCAGCCTGGATTCGAACCCACCAGCTCAGGTGTATGTGGCTGGTGCCTTAGCCACTTGAGCCACAGGTGCTGAGCCAGAAATACACATTTTTAAATAAGCTCCGGGGTGAATCTGACATGCCCTCAAGTCTAAGAACCACTGAGTGAGGGGATCTGTGTAACAGAGGATGCACTGGGGAGGGAATGTCATGAACAGCAGCCTAGAATGTGCATCTGGAATCCTAGCACTTTTTGAGGCTGAGGCGGGAGGATAGCTTGAAGCTAGGGGTTTGAGGTTGGAGTGAGTTAGGATGATGTCATGCACTCTAGCTAGGACCACGGGTCATGGAGGGAGGAGCCAAAAATCCAATGCTCTGAATGCTAATGAGAGAGCTGGGATTTTCTCCTGAGGGAGGGCACTGAGGAATCATGTGTTTGGGTGGGGGAGTAGTTGACTAGGCTTGGGCGTTAGTACAGCCCCTCTGGCTGTTGTGTGTGAGTGAGTGTGTGTGTGTGTGTGTGTGTGTGTTGCCCAGAAAGGTCTCCTCTGGCTCCTCCCAGCCACTCCCTGCCCTGGATTCTGATCTGGGAACAACTCTGGCTCCACTCCTCTTCCAGACACTCCTCCTCCCCCC